CCAGCTCCTGCCCTGGTCCCCAGCTTCTCCTCTGGTCCCCAGCTCCTCCTCTGGTCCCCAGCTTCTTCTCTGGTCCCCAGCTCCTGCTCTGGTCCCCAGCTTCTGCTCCGCCTTTCATACCTCAGCACCACATGGCTTGTAAGTGCATTAACTTTGTCACATTACTTTCTGGTTACCTTTAACCTTCACACCTTCTGGCATGTCATGATTTATCATCAGGTACTTATCTCTGGCCAATCTATGGTAGCTAAGCTGCCTCTAACCTGCTTCTATAGAAATAATGCCACAGTGGATGACCTTGTCCTTGTAAGAGAACAAACTACTCTCAGATTCGAGCTTGAGGTCCTCTCTAGAGTGGGATTGCTGGGTGTGCCAATCCACATTACATTACTACGTTACTATAACAAAATGTCTGAGGCTAGGAAGGAATAAAAGAGAACAAGGTTTCCAGCTCATTATTTTGGAGGAAGAAAGTCCAAACAGCACGGTTCAGCATGGTTAACTGACTGGGTATTCAGGCTGCCTCACCATAGGGGCATGGCATTATGGGAGGAGCATGCAGTGGAAACCGCTGACTCACCTAGGCTGGCTGGTCAGCAAGCTCCCAGTATGGCCATCGTCTCCCAACACCGGGGTGACAGGAGGCACAGCCACACTCAGATTGTTACATGGATGCTGGGAATTTCAAACTCAGGTCCCCAAGCTTGCACAGCAAACACCCTTAACCCGTTGAGCTATCTCCCCCTCCCCCAGCCCCTCATTTCTTTCTTTGCTGGTAATTCCAGTATGTTCCAGCACAACCTTGAAAATGAGTGTCATGGTTTGAGTGTGAAATGGCCCCCACAGGCCGCTGTTTAGAATGTTCAGTCCCAACTGGTGACGTCACTGTGGACATGGGATCAAGCTGGCCAGTGTAGAGCTCTAGGGACAGAGTTTATGGATATAACCCAGCCTGCTTCCAACTTGGTCTCTGTGCTGCCTTGGCTGCTGAGATGTGAGCAAGCAGAGCCCCAAGCTCCCGTGGGTATGAGTGGCTCTAGTACCACCCCTCTCCCCATGGCGGACTGTGTCCTCTGAACAGTGACCAAAACAGATCTTCCTCCCCTGGGCTGTGTCTATGAGGTATTTGTTACACTGACAAAATAAAATGTAACTGATCGAATGAGCATGTACCCCAGGTTCGCCTTCAGATGCGACATCCTCTGAGCTCCTCCCAACATGGCCACTCACCTGTCGTGCTCACGTGCTTGTCTGAGATGCGCTTCTTCTGTCCTCCCGAGCCTCCGCCTGCTGCATGGCCTCGGAGCTGCTGAGACAGGTGCACCTATCACACCAGCCTTGACCATCTGCTCCGTCAGTGGCCATTTAACTGGGGCATCGCTGCAAACTGAGCCAGCTGACCAGCTTGGCCCTGGAGGACACGCAGCGTGTAGTAAATCCCTCTCTGTCCTGTGAGGGGCACAGCACTTTTGCCATATGCAGTTGTCAAGAGTGTGGCGAGGCCCACTGGCCTTCGTGTGCTGTGGGTTCACAGGCAGAAGGCAAAACCAGAGAAGCCAAGGTTGAGAGAAGAGAGGTTATAAAGGCCTGGAACAGAGCCCTCTGATGGGGTGCTTTGACGCACTTCACATATACCAGCTGGCTAGCTCATCACAGAGCCCAGACAGCCACTGCACTATTTTACAGCTGAAGAATGAAACCTTGCAAAGATTATCCTGTCACACCACGTCCAACTCAGAACTTGTATCTACTTTTTCTGACTCCCAGACCCTCCGACTTCCCAGAAATGGCTTCCCCCAAATAAATATCACTTCTACACGTAGCCAGGCACTGGACAATGGGCCCCGGCCCCGGCAAACCCTTTGGTCCCACAGGCCCATGTTGAACAATTGGTGTTAAGGAAACTGAAGGCTGTGTACAGAAATGTCACAGGTGTTTCTCAAAATTCAGTTAAAAAATGACAGACAACAAAAGCAAAGGCCCATGGATGTTGAGACACAAAGATAAGAAGAAATAGCAAAGCCAGAGAGCACGGAAAAAGAAGCCAGGCATTCAGGTGATTACCACCAGCAAAACAGTTAGGAGGATACAGGTGGGAGCCACCAGCCCAGAACAACAGACAGGCTCAGAGGACTGACTGGCCAGGGCCAGCAGATGGCCCAGGCAGCTGGGACAGGTCAGTCCCTAGGCAACTGAGTCATCAAGCAGCAGCCCAGAGCAGTCACAGAGCACAGGCCTTATGACGGAACTGTAGTCTCAGCTGGGGCCTTTAAAGGCTTTGGTCAAAGCCAGAACCAATCACAGCTGGGACCCAGGTGGGCAGAGCCAGCCTTGGTGGGGAGAGCTGCCTAGGGCCTTTGTCAGTTTCCTGCGTGTGTCTGTTTTCAGGAGCTCGCTGGTCCCAATGTCTTTGTTCTTCGACACTTACACCTGTGAGCTCTAATTTAGGCTTTTTGAGGTGGCGATGGTCGCCTCATAAATCCATGGCTGTTTTCTGCTGACCCAAGGTGTGGTTCTTGGCATCTCCCTAGCCATGACACTGTCCCTTTGCAAGGTCTTGCTGGCTGCAGGCAACCAAGACCCAGTCGCCCGGTAAGCATGAAGTTGGGGTCAGGTGGCCCTTCCCATGGCTTGAATTGGGACCATCGAATCCCACGCCAGCAAAGCATGTGCCGCAGCCATTCCAACTGTACATGTAAGGGAACTGGAGCAGTCTGGGCCTCACGCAGAGCTGGTACGAGCCCCCAGTAGCCAAAGATGCCTTGAATGTTGCGAGTCTGTTGCAACAATAGCCAGACAGGCATGAACATCATCATGGCTCCTCAAGCTGAGGAAGTGTCTATACACGAGTTCCTCAGCAAAAGGACCCACTTGATTCCAGCCCCAGGGCTGTGAGAGATGAGCTAGCCAGAGAACACTGGGGCAGTTACGGGGCAGTGAGGAAGACAAGCTTTGGGGAAAATACCCCTCAGCACTTCAAGGACCTGGTCCCACGTGACCACTGAACCAAGTCATTCCTGATGCTTCCCTCCCGCACAGAGGAGAAGGGTCTTTCTTGCTCGTCTAGCAGCTGTGAACCTGCTAAGGCTTAGCATGACAGAACCAGTCAGCCCCACCCTCTCTCCAGCAGCTGCAGAGATCCCACCAGGCCCAAGCCTCAAGGCCAGCCCCGTGGTGGGACTCTCACACCAGGTACCCCATCCCACCACCCACACCTTAGCCTGAAACTGTAGAGACTTGAATGTGGGGTCCAAAAGAGCCCTTTCCTCCACACCCCTGGAAGGTGCGGACCAGCTTCCTGACAGCAGACAGGCTCCTCTTCTTTCCAAAAGCTCCCTGCGGGATGCGCTTGGTCCACACCCCACACCCCACAAGGAGGAGCAGAGAAGGTGAGGTGCTGGTGGGATGCGTGGAGGGTTATTTTTAGCTCAGGCTGTAGCTTACTCAGGAAATGGTTCCATCAAAGGCATCATTCTCAAAGGCCACCAAGAGACGTGTGCCTGGGAGAGTTTATGAGCTCAGACACCAGGTCAGGGAACCCTCCTGGATCTGCCATCGTGTGACCTGAGCTTAAAGATAAGGCCAAATAAAGAAAGCATGGCTTTAAGAGCAGTCCCCTGAGTCCCAGCCTTATGCCATTCAGTGAGTCCTCCCTAGGGGAGGACTAGACCCCATTCAGGACCCTGTAGACCCCACACAGTATTTTTCCTGTTTCCCAGTGGGTGCAGGCACACCAAGACAGTCCCTGAGCTTGCCGTTTATACCTTGTCAGACCCCAGTTCTTTTGTTTGTTTGTTTGTTTGTTTGTTTTTGTTTGGGGGGCTTTTTTTGAGACAGGGTTTCTCTGTGCAGCTTTGGTGTCTTTCCTGGAACTCGCTTTGGAGACCAGGCCGGCCTTGAACTCACAGAGTTCTGCCTGCCTCTGCCTCTCGAGTGCTGGGATTAAAGGCGTGTGCCACCACTGCCCGGCCTGGATATGAAAGAACATTCTTCCCAATTGCAGCTTCTCCGTTACCCATTGGACAAAAACTGGTTTCCCCAAGCTCCTTCCACACCACCCACCTCCAAAACCCTGGATCTTAGCTGAATCCCCAGGGATCCAGCAGCATTGTGGCTACAGCCAAGGTGATTGAGTTCGCATTTCCTGGAAAACGGAGGAACGAGCAGTCTCCAGATCAGAGCTAGACTACAGGGTCTGGGGTCCTCTCTATTCTGCCCCCTCCCAGTCCTTCTCAAACCCTCCTCTGATTCCCCACTGAGACACCTGGAACTCTGGAGAGCCCATTCTCAAGCCTTGCTCCAGATTCTACCCGCAATGACATCCAAAACCCAAGCAGCAGTTCTCTGTGGGTCTTGACCCCTTGGGGGAGTCACATATCAGATATCCTGCATATCAGATATTTACATTATGAGTCATAACAGTAGCAAAATTACAGTTGTGAAGTAGCAATGAAATAACTTTATGGTTGGGGGGTCACCACAGCAGGAGGAACTGGATTAAAGGGTCACAGCGTTAGGAAGGTTGAGAATCACTGCTTTTGTCAGGTCTATGCTGAGCATTCCAACTTGCCTTCTCCCACGTGCCAGCTGCTCTCCCTGCACTGGGAGTACCCAAAATGTAGAGACCAAGCCCTGTTCCCACTCCAGTCTCTTGAGCCCTCACCCCCACCCCACCCTGAAAGAAGGAGCTGGAAAAGGTTGACAGGACCTTATCTGGCTGCCTTTTGGATGGGGATAAATGAGAAGGAGGTTTTAAGGACATAGGCCCTTATAGGGAAGGACAGACCCGCCAGCCACTCTGCTAAAAGTCAGGTCGGATCTCCAGGATCCATAGCCCAGGTAGGCCCCTTCCTGAAAAGGGTTCAGAGAGCATGCGCCAAGGAATTCCCGTGCCCTTCTCTCCCTGAGACCAAGGGAGGGGCAAAGACCAGGAGGAAGCTTGTAAATGGCTTTGAAGATGAAACAGGCCCGTGGCCAGGATTGTTGACACAGCCACACCAGGAGGCAAGCGAGCTGGAGCTTAAGAGGCCAGGCGCTGCCAAGCCAATAAAACACAGCTATTGTCTCTTCTTGGCCTCTTTTAATGCCAGCTGCTGTGGGCATATAAAAGGGCCTTCAATGACCCAGGGAACACACAGCCTCGGCTCCATCCACTCTCAGCTTCTCTCCTCTTTGCACGTGTCCTCCACCATGACCTGTGGCTTTCGAACTGGAAACTTCAGCTGCGCCTCAGCCTGCGGGCCCCGGCCTGGCAAATGCTGCATCTCCGCAGCTCCCTACCGCGGCATCTCCTGCTACCGCGGACTCTCAGGGGGCTTCGGCAGCCACAGCGTCTGCGGGGCCTTCCGCTCTGGCTCCTGTGGACGCAGCTTCGGATATCGCTCTGGAGGTGTCTGCGGGCCCACACCCCCCTGCATCACCACAGTCTCTGTCAATGAGAGCCTGCTCACACCCCTCAACCTGGAGATCGACCCCAATGCTCAGTGTGTGAAGCATGAGGAGAAGGAACAGATCAAGTGTCTCAACAGCAAGTTTGCAGCCTTCATCGACAAGGTGGGTGTCCTGGACCAGCCCCTTCCTGGAGCCCACCATAGGCATGGCCGAGGCAGGGTGTTGAGGGGAAATCAGAGTACAAACCCATAGAACCCCCAAGGCCACAGGTCACAGACAGAAAGAGACTGGAAGCAGTACCTTCCAGTCTGATATGGGAAAACCAATTGAAAGCAAAACTAGGAGCTGGACCTACAGAAGCCAGGCATAGCCTCGCCGCACAGCTCCCCCAGAGCTGCCCTCTGGGACTCTCCGGTCTGTGAGACCAAGTAGATGCTCATGCAGGAAGCTGGGTGTCCTCCCCACGTCAAGAGTAGAAAGAGTGACTGCGAAGACTGCCTGGAAGTTCATCTCACAGAGCTGTTTTAATCCCATGGAGCACCTGGGCCAGGGTACTTTGTGCAAGCGACTGTACTGGAGCTCAGCATGACGGCCTGAGCTACAGCCACAGGCCCCACCCCCAGAGCCTTCTGGGAAGGAGTCTGTGTGTGGTCTGGGCTCCACAGGCCCGAGCCTGCAGCCATCCTCGCAGAATCCAGGCAGCCATATGCAACTGAAGCGTGAGCACAGGGAGAAGAAGGCTCGAGGAGAGAGCAGTTCTGGGCTGGGGAGAGCAGTCCAGAGCTGTCACACACAAGACGCAACAAGTAGCTCAGGAAGGAACTTACCAGGGATATAGCAACGTTACTGGCCGAAGGCGTCTGTGTCTGAGAGTAGACCAACCGGGTCGGGGGGCGATGGGGGTAATATGTAGCTTGGGGACCAATAATCTGTAATTATAGGGGTGGGACATGGCCCCTGCAGATCCAGGGTCTCTCTCCAGGGTCAGCCATGTTCCCTGGCTCGGCTCTTGAGTGCAAGGGTGGAACACAAGGCATTCCTGCACTCCTATCCCAGGTGCCTATTATTCTAACTGAGCTGCTGTTGCAGCGTTCCGTAATTGTGGCACACGCTCACTTCACTTTCCAGAGTTTACAGTCTAAGCAGACCCACCGGTCCGTCTGCAGGTTGACTGCCACAGCTGCCTCGCTGTGTTATCTTCTCGGGGTGACATCTCTCTCTACACTTTGTGACAGGTGCTTTAACTGCTCCACTCTGCAGAGGGCTCGGTGCTTCATCCAGGTTACACATGGTGACCTTGGGTCACGTGTGACCTGGAGTGTGGTTTAAGCACTTCCCATGACACCAGATGAACTGACTGAAGTCAGCTCTCAAGGAGTTCCAGGAAGTAAACTGATTCAGCCCCAGTGTGGTTATAGAAAGATGACATGCCAAACAGGGAGGACATGGGCTTTCAGGTGCTGTTGCTGTGTGTGTGAGTGTGTATATATGTGTGTGTGTATGTGTGCGTGCGTGCATGCGCACCAGCGAGCACCCTTGCCCTCTGATCCTGCAAGAGTCCATTCTCAGACTTTTATTCTGAATGGCAGGTGCGCTTCCTGGAGCAGCAGAACAAGCTGCTGGAGACCAAGTGGCAGTTCTATCAGAATCGCAAGTGCTGTGAGAGCAACGTGGAGCCGCTGTTCGAGGGCTACATCGAAACCCTGAGGAGGGAGGCTGAGTGTGTGGAGGCTGACAGCGGGAGGCTGGCTGCTGAGCTCAACCATGCCCAGGAGGCCATGGAGGGCTACAAGAAGAGGTGAGGGTCACTGGGCAGTCTTGGTAGGAGCTCCCTGGGTACAGAGGAACACCTGGCCTGTGGTTGGGATCTCTGCCTGCCTAGGTCAGGAAGCCCGCCCCTGCCTTGTCCATCAAGGAATCCCTTTCCCGGCCTTCCTCCAAGCACAGGGTCCCTTTCCTTTGCAAGACAGATTGTCATCAGCCTCCCCCAAGTAGTACAGGCTTCCTTTCTCCATCCAACAAACATCTGGGAAAAGCTACATTTCCTGGTCTCCAGAACTAGCCCTTAAGCCTCTGGATGATGTTTGTAGGGTTTCCTTCCTACTCTCTTGTCCAAAACCTTCCACACCCAGGTAGACACAACAGGAGGCTGCTGATCCAGCCAGCGACGGGCATGGTCCCTGCCCTTGGGGGTTTACAGCCTGCTGGGATGCAGGCATGGCATGGTCACATCTGGAGACTTTCAGTTACATGTGACACAGCCAGGAAAGATGGGCACTGAGTCTCAGAAAGCTTCTGTTTCTCAAAGGGACTAGCCTTCTTCAGTGGCGCACCCTGGCCACTACCCCTGGCTCTGAGCAGGCCTTCCTACAGAGTGGTCCCTTGGCTCACTCCAGGAAGAGATAATAAACAGGGTGCTGACCAAGGGCTCAGAGCAAAGGATGAGGAAAAACAGTATTCCCCTCTGCCCAACCCCCACCCCCCACACACACACACGCACACATGTGAGTGTGTCTCTCTGTGTCTGTGTGTCTGTGTCGAAGCACAGCTTCCAAACACTGCTCTCCTATCTCTACTGCAAAGACCTAATGTTCTCATGGGCATGTGCCTAGAGCCTGGCCTATCCCAGATCCTCTAAAGAGGCCTGGAGTCCAGGATGCTTTGTGAGTCAGCTTCATGGCCAAGGCCCATGGCCACTTGAACAAGGCCCTCTTTCCCTCCTGCCTCAGGTATGAAGAAGAAGTTGCACTCAGAGCCACAGCAGAGAATGAATTTGTGGCTCTGAAGAAGGTGAGTGATTGAAGTTAGTCCCCACCCAGTTCCACCCCACCCTGTCCCCACTGGGCTGCCACTCAGCAGCCAGATGCCCTAAGGCCCAAGGAAGAGGTAGCATTATGGCTCTCTGCAAACCTCACAGGATGTGGACTGTGCCTACCTGCGCAAGTCAGACCTCGAGGCCAATGCGGAGGCGCTGACCCAGGAGATCGACTTCCTGCGGCGGCTATATGAAGAGGTAAGGGTGGTAGCCATGGTAAGCACACACAAGGCTTGGAGGGAACCCCCGAACCCACCAAGCCCCTCGTAAGTAACCCAATCTGACACATGAGCCCAGGTTGGAGACTGGAGAGCTTGGGTGGGGGACTGAAGAACCAGGCAGGCGAGATGAGCTGTCCATCCAGGGGCACCTAGTCCTTCCTAAACCAACAGGTACAGCTCAGTCTTACTGACCCTAGACCAGCTTTAGGCCCCAGGGCACAGTCTGTCCCTAAGGAACCATCTGGATACAGCCTGGGTTTGCTGGGTCTAAGCAATTCCCCAAGCAAGAATTTGAGAAATCCTTGGCTGCCTCAAAGGGAACTTGCAAACAGAAAGCTGTCACTTTTTTAGGGGGCAGTCATTTTCCTACAAATATGGCTGGCAGGTTCCAAGAGAGCCATGGGGGTTGGGGGAACGGCGGGTGAAGAAAAGCCCAGGGAACCTGACTGTCTTCCTTCTCTCTCCTCCCACAGGAGACCCGAATCCTCCACGCCCACATCTCAGACACCTCTGTCATCGTCAAGATGGACAACAGCCGGGACCTGAACATGGACTGCATCGTGGCTGAGATCAAGGCTCAGTATGATGACATTGCCACCCGCAGCCGGGCAGAGGCTGAGTCCTGGTACCGCACCAAGGTGAGTGGTCACAACACCTGTCCTTAGACATGACAGTGGGAAGGACTCCAGGATCTATCAGAAAAGGTTTCATGCACCCCAAGAGTCGCAAGAAGATTGCAAACAGCTCTCAGGTGGAGGAGGCAGCCCCGGCTGAGCACTGTGCTGCTGTGCATCTTGCACACCTTGCACACTCAGTGGTGGTGTGCTCACTGGGTGGATGTTGCATCCTGTGCTTCATGGGCATCTCTGTTTCCCCCATCCCCAGTGTGAGGAGATGAAGGCCACAGTGATCCGGCATGGGGAGACCCTGCGTCGCACCAGAGAGGAGATGAATGAGCTGAACCGCATCATCCAGAGGCTGACAGCCGAGATTGAGAACGCCAAGTGCCAGGTATGTAGGGGTCAGCTGTGCTGAGACCAGGGAGGCTGGGTGCCTACTCAGTGCCATAGGGCCAGCATGTGCCCTGCTTGGATCTTACCATTTAGTATACCTCCTGTGTATATGAACAGAATCCTGACCACAGTCACTCAGGTTGAGCCACATTTATAAAGAAAAATTTCTTATTTGAGGGTGAAGGATGTTTCCCAGCTGGTAGCAGACTAGATACATCCAGGTAATACATAGAGCAACCCAGGGACCATAGGCGATCTCTTTCTCTTCTGTGTCCCCAGAACAACAAGCTGGAGGCCGCAGTGACCCAGTCTGAGCAGCAGGGAGAGGCCGCCCTCACCGATGCCCGCTGCAAGCTGGCTGAGCTGGAGGCTGCCCTGCAGAAGGCCAAGCAGGACATGGCCTGCCTGCTCAAGGAGTACCAGGAGGTGATGAACTCCAAGCTGGGGCTGGACATCGAGATCGCCACCTACAGGCGCCTGCTGGAGGGCGAGGAGCAGAGGTGAGTCCCTCACACACTCCACTACCTCAGGAACTTCCCCTGCTTTGTCTGTCTGTCTCCCACCCTGCGCATCTCAGTTTCAGCCCCAAGAACCAGCATAAGCTAGAGCCATTTCTGACTGGAGCCCAGTGTTCTTGAATTGGCCTTGGGTGGCCTCATGACACAAACCGTTGCCACCACAGAGCCAGAGCTCCAGTCATCATAGGACTAGAACCAGAGTGCCCTACCTCTGGGTCAGAAATCCCTTGGGTCTTCCAAGATGGGCATCTTGCCTATAGGTCCATAAGGTTTTGCCCTGGGTTAGGGCTGCTGGCCAACTTCTGCCCTTGGGCTGTATGCCCAGGAGGATGCCTTTGTTACTTTGCATTGCTGTGACCACAGTGCTGGACAGAGGTGGGGGAGCTCCTTCAGCTCACAGTTTCAGGGGATCTGGGCCCATCCTAGCAAGGAGACCATGGCAAGGCAGTTCCATTCACGGCTGTGGAAGTATGTAGTGAGGCTGTTCACACAGCAGCGGACAGACCGGGCAGGATCAAGAGCCAGAGACCAGGGTGTCACCTTTGAAGTCTCACTTCTGGTGACCTACTTTCTCCAGCTCAACCTCACCTCCTAAAGTTCCACAGCCTCCCAAAACAGCACCAGCAGTCAGAGCCTGTGGGGGCCATTTCTTCCCAAGGCTGGGCCTAGCCAAGTCTGTCAGGGGCTTGTTGGGGCTACACGTTGCAGTCGGCCGAATGAAGGCAAGCAAGACGTGAAACCATTCTGACTCGGCTCAGTATAGTGCGCCCCGCATGGCCACAACCACCACAGAGACACCTTTGTCTGAGTGACACGAAGTTAAATATGAATGGGAATGTGGCATCTGAGGGTAACCTGATGATATCTCATTCTGTCTCCTCTCTCTTCCCCGCCTTTCCTCCGCTCAGGCTGTGCGAAGGTGTTGGAGCTGTGAACGTCTGTAAGTACAATGAATCCTAAAAGAAAACTGTAGGCTTGTGCATCAGCAAGGATTCCCCAGTGTGGTATACAGACACTGGGAAAATATCACTCATAACTCCTGTCAAGGGGACGAGGTTGCTCATGCAGAAAGAGAGACTGAGGTTAGCCCCCAGAATGGCTAGGGTGGGAAAGGGGAAAGATATCACCCCCAGGGAACCCAGAAGTCACTTAGTATGGTGTCTGCCTTGTAGAAGTGAGGGAGTCCACAAAAGGCGTTACAGAGCAGAAACAGGTCCGTAACTCAGGCCTCCCTGCACAGCTTACAAACTAGAACGGAAGGCTCTTTGTGGCCTTCCCTGAAGGGCTGGAGCAACCGCACTGACCAAGGGAAGGGTGACTAGCTGGGGTGGCCACCAGCCAGGCTTCAAGACCCCTCCCTTGTTCCCACAGGTGTCAGCAGCTCCCGTGGTGGAGTTGTGTGCGGGGACCTGTGTGTGTCTGGCTCACGGCCAGTGACAGGCAGCGTCTGCAGCGCCCCATGCAGCGGGAATGTGGCGGTGAGCACTGGCCTGTGTGCACCCTGTGGAAGCGGCTCCTGTTACCAGGGGAGGTGTTAGGAGTCAAGAGGGAGCAGGGAGTGGCCTGCCCCACAGGGCTGAACACAGTAGCCTCAAGGTCTGCTGCCCTTGTGTTCTGAGAATACAGTCCCCACCCCCAGCTGCCCTTGTGTTCTGAGAATACAGTCCCCACCCCCAGCAGCTGCCCCTCTGTCCAGCTACCTGCTGCTGGCTGTGATAGATCAGCCCCCTGCCTCAGCTGCGGCCCTGGAGGTGCCCAGTCCTGCTTCCTGTGCCTCTAGCCTCTAGGCCGTGTTGTGCAATAAACTGTGCCTACTCTCAGAGTGTGTAAGATGTCGTGCTTTCTTGGGGTAAGCTCGTACTGTTGTCTGGGGAGCACTGGCTGGGTGATATGGCCGAAGGACTGGAGCCACTGGGGCCTGTCCCTGTGGTAGACATTTACAGGGCCTGTTCCCAAACAGAGTTGTCTCCCCATCCCCACCAGGCAGAGCTCAAAGCTCAGGTTGCCTGTACCACACCTACTAGGCCATGTGGCTTTGGGGGCGTGCTCTCAGTGTTGCCCACCAAAGAGAGATGTGACCCCTGACACCTGTTTCCCCCATACATACATACACATCCTTTCTTCATTCCCAGAGGCCTTCTCAGTCAATCCCTGTGGTTGGTACAGCGAGACGATAGGATTCCCTCTTCCAAATAGTCCTTAAGGAGACCAGAGGCCACAGGCTATGCTGAAAGGCGGGGTTGCATGTCTGCTTGTCTGTCTGCCTGCCTGTCTGTCTATCTGCCTGTCTTCCCACCCATCAGTCTGTGTGTAGGTTTGGGGGGGGGGTAATCTTTCTCTCTCTGTCTGTCCATCCACTTGTGTGTGGGTGTGGGGAGGCTCGGGGTAGGGGGCGGTAATCTACCTGTCTGTTTGTCTGCCCACTCATCCATCTGTGTGTGGGTATGAGGGTGCTGGGGGTATCTGTCTATCTGTCTGTCTGTCTACTCATCCATCTGTCTGTGTGTGGGTGTGAGGGATTGGGGGTAGGTGTCTGTCTGTCAGTCAGTCCATTCATGGGGAGGGCATGTGTATTTGTGTGTCTGTCTGTCTGTCATCCCTCTCTCTCTCTCTCTCTCTCTCTCTCTCTCTCTCTCTCTCTCTCTCTCTCTCTCTCTCTCTGTGTGTGTGTGTGTGTGTGTGTGTGTGTGTGGTCCTAACCCCCTTCCACCTACACCCCACTTTCTTCTCCCCTGTATATTCACTCCTTGCATCCTAACACCACACACATACATCACAGCAACAACTATCAGATGTGCCGCCAGGACCACTTTGGGTCGCTCTGGTCCCCACTCCCCGTTGCCATGGCCACCTCACTGCCTTGTTCCCTGTACCTCCGTGACTCATCCCCAACACTAGGATGGCTACTCTGTTCCTCTTGGCCTGACCTCACTGGTCCGGGGAATACTCCAGAATAGAAGACCCAGAAAAGTTCTGAGCCCAGGCTAGAGGAATCAGAGCTAAAATATCCTCCATCCCCACGCACCCACCCCTGCTGCCCTCCCCACTGCCCCTTCCTCAACCCTGCCTCTGCCCATGACCTGCCCATGACCTCCTCCCCACCTAGCCACACCCTCTTGAAAAATGTCCTACCTCCTCACTGTTTAGGCCTTAGGCCCCCTGGGATCCACACCAAGCTCCCTGTCACCTTCTCTCCTCCACTCCGTGGCCCCTGAGTGTCAGGTCTCCAACCTGTCCCTCCTGCCTCATAGGGTCTCACTCCTCCCATGGACATCACTCATTGGCTCACACTCTTCACCCTGCAGCCTCACCTTGAGCACTCAGGGCCCCTCTACCTTTGCACCCTGGCCCTGGACCACTGTACCAGCCTCCACCTTAGCTCCTACTATGCTCAAGGTCCTACCTGGTTAATCCTGAGGCTGTGCTCAGAATCCTGAGGTCTTCACTGGCCTCACTGCTCAGCAGCAGGCCCCATGCCCCAACCCCACATGATCCCTCTCCCACAGCCCTGGCCCTGAATTCTGCCTCTCCTGGCTTCTTCCTGTCCTTCCCCACATCTTTCTCCTCTCTACTTTGTCCAGAGCTGTAGGTTTTTTTGTTTTGTTTTGTTTTGTTTTTACTCTTTGCTGTTTGGAGGCCCGCTACCCAGCTACCAAATAATCACATGGAAACTTATTATTACTTATAAATGTCTGGCCTTAGCTTGGCTTGTTTCTAACCAGCTTTTCTTAAATTAGCCCATCTACCTTTTGCCTCTGGGCTTTTACCTTTCTCTATTTCTGTATATCTTTTTTCTCCTTTTTATTCCATGTCTGGCTGTGTGGCTGTGTGACTGACCCCTGGTATCTTCCTCACCTCCTTTTCTCCTCTTCTTGCTCCTCCTCATCTCTCTTCTCTCTCTGTTTATTCTCTCTGCTTGGCAGTCCCACCTATCCTTTCTCCTGCCTTGCTATTGGCCTTTCAGCTCTTTATTAGACCAATCAGATGTTTTAGGCAGACAAAGTAACACAGCTTCACAGAGTTAAGCAAATGCAACATAAAAGAATACAACACATCTTTGCATCATTGAACAAATATTCCACAGCATAAATGAATGCAACCTATCTTTAACTAATATTCCACAACAAAGAGCAGCACCCTTTGAGGCCACAGTCCTGTCCAGCATCCCTCCTGGCCCAGGCTACCCTTGAATTCAGGCACCAGAATTGTCTTCATCTTCCTCCCAAACAGCTCTCCAAAGTACTTGCTTCTCTGCCTCCTACCACAAAACCATACAACAAATGCTTGTGTCTTTCAACAAGCTTAGAATTATTGAATAGCAGTAAATTAATTAGCTATATAAGTATTCTTGACTGCAATTTATCCGGTAATTTTGATCCCACTAAATAGTACGGCCACTGGCAATCACAATTGGTTGGTTAGTTGACTGGATTTTTTGAGACAGGCTCTCCTGTCATCCAGATGGGTGTCTGTAGCAGGAATCTTAAAAGTTCTTATTAATAAAATCAAACCTGTGCCAGGTATTGGGGTGAACTGGAAGATCAGAGAAGCAGAACAAGCCACAGCTACCTCACCTTGCTGGATCCTCAGCTGGTCTTGTTTCCTCAGACTGGAGGCCTCTGAGTCCTCATCCTAATGGCTTTCAGCTGAACTGTGCTGCTAGCAGCCTGAAAGCTTAACCAGCCAAATGCTTCTAGTTTCTGGTCTTCACGCCTTATATACCTTTCTACTTTCTACTACCACTCCCTGGGATTAAAGGCTCGCTTTCTGGGATTAAAGGCATGTGTCACCATGCGTGGCCGTTTCCAATGTGGCCTTGAACTCACAGAGATCCAGAGGGATTTCTATCTCTGGAGTGCTAGGATTAAAGGTGTGAGTGCCACCATTGCCTATCCTATATGTTTAATATTGTGGCTGTTCTGTCTCTGACCCCAGATAAGTTTATTAGGGTGCACAATATTTCGGGGAACACAATACCACCTCAGGTGTCCAACTCACTATGTAGCCAAAGTTGGCCTTGAACTCCTGATCCTCCTGCCCCCACTTTCTGAGTGGACTATATATATACACCACCAACCCCCAGCTTCAGGTTCTTTTTATCCCGTTAATAGTTATTAATGTCACTCCTCAGACGACACACACATTCACACAGTAATACATATGTCAGTGATAGAGAAGCTACAAGACAGTTCAAGAGGCCACAGACTTCACAGAGATCTTACTGAGCACAGAGAACTAACACATGTGCAGGTGGCCATGGGCCATTAGGTAAGAAAGCCAGCTGGAGAGATGTTAGAGATGCAGAGCCAGGCCTACCTGCCAGCAGTACAGTCAGGTGAGGTCCAAGGCCAGGTCTGCACGGACAGAATGGCCTTCACTCTTCTTAGTGTGTTGGATAAGTTCACAGGCCTGGTTTTTCTGATATAGTTTTAATCTGCTCATGTGTCCATGTGTTTCCATCTACTCTGATAAGTTTGTGGGTGACACTTTGTAGCTTACATAAATGAGATTTATCAGTGTGTACCTCATGTCAGATACGAGACAGTTGATGGTGTCTTCACACACACACGAGATGCAGAGTATTTGAAATGGAGCCAACTGCTGTTTGATAAAATGGAATCACCCATTGCAAGGCTCAGTTCAAAAGCCACCGTTTTACACAATTCAGAGCAAGGTGAAGCTTGCTCACACCACACAGCAGTAGGAACCTCCGCAGAACACCAGCCCCATCTTCCATGGCTCTCTCTGCCCTCCAAGTGACCTCAGGGTATCTAGAAGAGTATACTAGCCCCACACACACACACACACACTCTGGCTCTGACCCCCCCCCCAACTCAGTGCCTTTCAGGTCTCCCGATCCCTTCACTTGCTCCCCACGGGGCCTCGGGTGTCCTTGTCACCCGGCAAGTACGGGGACAGAGCTCTGTGGGGCTCTTGCAGTTCTTCCCTTCTTGGAAGCTGCTCTGGGACACTGATACTTCTTCCCAAGGACTTAAGGGGGGACGTTAAGGACAGGCAACCTCAGGGGGTACGTCACAGTGTAGCACAGGGAGAACTCAGAGGGTCACCTTCTTCCCACCCTCTCCAAGGCTGACACTGTAATGTGGTGATATAATGTGTACCCTAATAAACTTGTCTGAAGATCAGAGGACAGAGCCAGCCACTAGATTAGACATAGAGGTCAGGCAGTGGTGGCACACACCTCTAATCCCAGTACTGGGAAGCACACACGCCTTTAATCTCAGGAAGTGATGTCTGGGCAGAGAAAGGTATATAAGGCGTGAGGAAGCAGGAACTCACTCTCTTTAGGCTGAGGATTTCATAGAGGTAGGAACTAGTGGCTGGCTGCTCCGCTTCTCTGATATTTCAGCTTTTACCCTGGTATCTGACTCTAGGTTTTTTATTAAAAGACCATTTAGAAATTCAAGCAACACTGTAGTCTCAGCTATCAGATCCAATGATGAGTCTCCAGGCTTGCCTCCTTGTCACCATAGTTACCTGCTATGTGGCTTTTCCTGGGGAGACAAATGTCTGCATATTCACCTAGATAGGGCACTGATGAAAAACAAAACAAAGTAATGTTTCTAAGTAAGTCTATTTGAAGAACCAATGAGTGTGTGGAGTTCCACATGTACAGAAGTGTGGGTGACTGAAAGGCAGCTGCATCATGAAAGAGCCAGCCCACCCAGCGTGGACGGTGACTCACACACACACAGGGTGGCATCCTGGAGCTCGGGCAAGCTCCCTGTCAGTTCCACCTTTATGGCCTTGGGCAGGGCCTGTGAATCTGGGGAGCCTCCGGAGCCTGGGTCTTCACTGTCTTCCTGGGTCTTGTGAGTCTCCCTCCTCCTTCCCGGAGGAGCTTTTGAGTTTGGAGGAAACAGCCAAAGAACTCTGCAGAGCCCTGGGCATTAGGGCTGAGAGAAAAGGGAAGTGGGCGGGAGGATCTCCCGCCAGGGTCAGAAGCAATGCTGGAATTGAGACCTTACGGAGAAGCAGGGGTCTCTGTCAAAATCACCGAAGAAGTACAGTCCCCATGTTCACTCAGGTAGAGAAGAATTAAAGATGGCTGTCTCGTGCCGGCTTGGGTGACACACACTTGTAATCCCAGCACTCAGGAAGCTGAGGCAGGAGGGTTATTATGAGTTTGAGACTAGCTGGGCCACAGTGTGAGAGACTCTGTCAAGAAAGGAAGGAAGGGAGGGAAGGAGGGAGGACGGAAGGAAGGAACACTGGAGGGGGGGGGGGTTTGTCCCAGTCCCTGAAGCCTGTTTTAAAGGAAACAGTTATTGTCTTGAGGAGCTATCCAGGCAGACAGTCATGTCGCAGGCACGGAGTATCAGCTGAAGAGCGAACAGACAATCCATGGGCTCAGGGAGGCTGGGGACTGGTCTGCAGGATGCCTGGAAACTTCAAGTGAACCAACCTGCTTTCCACTCCGCTCTCTGCCCCCAACCCCACCCCAGCCTCCACCCACTAAAAGCTTCCTCATACAGAGTAATTTCTAGTTCCTGTCATCTTTGCCCATCATCTCACTGGGTCAATGGTGACCAGGCTTTCCAGCATCTCTGATGAAGAATGGAAACACGCTGGCAATCAGAGCCTCTATGCTGACATGCTTGAGATGAGATGGCTCAGGTAGTGGGCAGTATCAAAATAACTGTCCCTTGGCTCCTGCTCTGCTCTGTGCATTAGCCGGAGTGCCTGAGCATCCCGTGGGCTGGCAACATCACCCCAATAATCACACAGGTCAGAAGGTCTCAACCTGTGGGTCATGACCTCCTTTGGAGGGTGAGTAACCCTTTCCCAGGAGTTGCCTAAGACCAATGGAAAACACAGATTTTTACATTATGATTCGTAACAGTAACAAAATTACAGCTATGAAATAAATAATGAAAATAAGTCTATGGTTGGGTCACCACAGCATGAGGAACTGTATTAAAGGGTCGAAGCATTAGGAAGGTTGAGAACCACTGATGTAGGTGAACTATCTGGGGTCTGGAAGTGAGGGCCCTCAACTACATGTACTGGTTGCCAAACCCGTGACAAGAGCCTGAGCATCCTGGCCTTTTTCTACCACCCCACTCCACCTTCTCAATTGGATGGCAAGGGATGCTGTATCACATGCTATTAGCAGAGTTGTTAGGGTTGGAGCCTGCCCCGGAAGCTCTGGTATGCCAAGCTTGGCCACCTATCCTCAGTAAGCCAGTTAAAGACAAGCATAGTGGGAAACAGAAGAAGATCTACCCAAGAAGGCTAAAATGGGAAGAGGAACAAACAGTCTAGTGACCACCACCACACCACACACACACCCCACGTCCATCTTTGGGATCCTGGCATGAGGTTTAGGTTTAAATCGACAGCTAGAGACATGCGTAACTAAGCAGTGCTGGTGGGGGTGCCGTCCTACCCACCCAACTGTCTGACCCTGCTGCAGTCTCTCTGCAAGCTGCCTGACAAGCCGTCAGAATTCCTCAGGGTTGGCGCCCAGCTTGAGTCTTTGACTTATCTGAGCTTGAGATTCCTGGGAAATCCCTATTCCTCTGGAAACACTGTTTCAATAGCCTGAAAAGGAGGGGCACAAGTCTCTGTAGTACATCTTCAGGCCTGCTGGAATGTTTCCAATGCCATCATAGCAACAGTAACAAAAAGGATGAAGCCCTTGTCCCGGCATCATTTAATGCTACACAATGTCCAACAATTTATGTCTTTCCCAGTTCCTCCTCCTGAGGAGACTGTCTTAAAATATGGCTCCCAACAATTCTATCCTTCTCTGAGCACAGCCATACAAACCACAGAAAGGGTTCAAGACCCAGCCTCTTGACTTGGGGCTGGTCCCTGCGCTCCAAAGGGAGGACCCCTCCAGGCTTCTGTGCCCTGGCCTTGTGAGAACAGGAAGCCATGAAGGAGAAGAGAGGGCCCTGACCATCACGCCAGCTGAGCTGCCGGCACCAAATGCCAACCATTTCAGCAAAGGCATTTAGGACTCTCCAGCCACCTGAAGCCAGCATCATAAGGGAAAACAGCCACCTGACCCCACAAAAAAATAGTGTTTTAAACAACTGCCTTTGGGAAGTTTAGTTATGACATAGAGCTAAGTACAGAGAATTTGGTACCTGGTAATGAGGTGCTGTTGTAACAAAGTCAAGAACCTGTGGTATTGGCTTTGGGGCTAGGCCTCAGGCTGAGCTTGAGTGTACTCAAGAAGATATGTGGGGAAGAACTAATTACAGTGAGATGATGGATGTTAATACTGGGGAGCAGAGAGGATGCTCCTCATGTCTGTGCATTTCTGTGTTCTCTCTCTCTGTCTCTCTCTCTCTCCCTGAAACAAGGGCGTCACACATGCAAAGTATATTAGACCTTTTGACACCATGGCAGAAATGTCTCAGAGAATCTATGTGAAAGAGGAAAGAGTTACTTTGGCTAAATGTTGCGGGCTTTTCCATCTGTGGCCAGTGAACAGAGAACTCATTGACTTCCTCCATTTCTTCCTTGTCATACCCAGTCCTCTAGACTGTGGGACAGTGCCCCCCCACATTCAGAGGGTGTCTGCTCCCCTCTAATTAGTTTCCTCTGGAAACCCCTTCACAGACACAAACAGAGGTGTGCTTTGCAAATACCCTAGGTCACTCTCCAACCAATGGACTGAAAATCAAGGTCAGTCACACCGCCAGGCAGGCCCCAGCCATGTCTGCCACCACAGCTCCTGTATTTACTGTTTTACTGCTTGCCAGCAACCCCTCATTCCCCTAGTCCTCCGCTATAGTTAATAATTATTTGTGATCATTCCCTCTGCTCACATTATTACCTTCCCATTTGAGCCTAGCTGATATATTCTAGCCAACAACCCTTACCTAAGCTCTCAGCTGGCAGCCAGCACCAGGACCAGCCTTGCCAGAGAGGCCCTGAGAACCTCTCAGTCATCACAGTACCCAGAAAGATGCCAGGTAAAGAGGAAGAGCTCCCCTGCCAGCCCACAGGGTCAGGAGGAAGCAGGAGGAGTGAGGAAGTTGTGTTTGAAGGCTTCCTGGCTGGGATCATAACTCAGCGGGAGAGCACTTGTTCAGGATGTGCAAAGACATGGGTTTGGTCCTCAGCGCTGGGAAAATATATTTATTTTAAATTTTAAAAAAGACGCCTCTCTGGAGAGATTTGCTGTGTGCCATCATTGTGTGACCCTCTTCCCACAAAAATGTAGGCACCATCGTCTCATTTGACAGATGAAGAGTCAAAGTCTGGTGAGGATGAGAGACCTGCCTCTTGAGATGGAACTGGACTGCTGTTCCAACAGAGCCTCTAGAAACAAAGCCTTTCCCCCTCTCCTCAGAGAGCCAAGAGCCACCCTAGGAATGGTGTGACCCTCCTCACTCTCCAGCAGGAACTGACACTCGGGATGGAAGCAACTTGTTCATTCACCCACACATCAGGTGACAGCCACCACTGTGAATGCCAGGTCTTCTGACCCTGACCTACCAGGAGTTCCTCTCCTCCTCTCCTCTGCCACCCACTACCGTCCTTCCGTTCTCTCAGTCCCTTCCTCAAGTACGGCACCCCAGAAACGCCCTTCAAGGAAGGGAAGCAAAATGACTGTGGCTGAGAAGCCCCGGGTGACATTTCACCTTGTCTAGAGATATCTTTGCTGATCACAATAAGGGGAAGAGCAATGCTGCCTGCACCTAGTGACAGAGGCCAAGGATGCTACAAAATAATGTCCTGGGAGACCTCAGGGACAGTCACCCAGCCCCCGACGCACAGTGCTGAGACAGAACACCTCAGTTAGAATACTGACCACCCCACAAGACTCTCTGCCTTGAGTCTGCCTTTGCTGTCCCCAAGGCCTGATTTCTCCAAGCCATAGGAGCTGCCTACTGCTGCCTTCGCCTACTGGAAACACCCAGGTGGCTGGTGGGGGTCCTGAGACCTCCGGCGGTGGCACCTGTCATAGACAGAATTTTGGAGAGTCTGAAGCTCAGGTTTGATTCGCTGCAATTAGTTTATTGGGAACGCAGAGTGAGACAAAGGCCAAAGTGCAGGCCGCCGCCGCTGTCGAGTCCCTGGTTTGCGGGCAGCAGCTGCCAGGCAGACCGGAAAGGAGATGCTCTGGGTCACGTGGTCTCTCGCTGAGTGACAGGAAAGCCAGCAACCGTGTTGGTCCCTGTCTCCATGCCCAAGCAAAATCATGCTAGGGACCCGGCGGATAAAGAGGATCCTGGGGCAGCGGATCCTCCAAGATCTTAAGACCAATGAACCCAGCAAAAAAAAAAAAAAACAGAAGGGGAAATAAAAGCAAGAATCCTCAAAACGAGCTACTAGAGAAGGCTACAGAATGAGATGGAGGCGCCGAGGCCACTGTCGCGCTGTGCGGTCACTTCGGGCAGAGTGGGCGGTGTTCCTAGCACTTCTTACAGCCTCCGCTGCAGGCGCCTGCCCCGGCGCAGGGGGCGCAGGCATTGGGGGTGCCCACCACCACGTTACCGCTGGGGGCGCTGCACACTCTGGTGTTGACAGCAGGGCCAGTACCGGAGACACAGAGATCGCCACAGACGACGCCACCGCGGGAGCTGCTCACGCCTGGAAGCGGGGAGAACGTGGGAGATCGCGTCAGGCACTGCCACTGCCAGGCGGCTCTGCAGCAAGCGCATGTGTTCCCGCCCCAAAGGCTCGCACCACCCCGCAGGAAAGGGGAAGGCTGGGATTACTTACACACATTCACGGAGCCAACGCCCTCACACAACCTGAGGGAGAGGAAAGGGAGACAGACGTTAGTACACCGAAAGCATGGGACAGGGGACATCGTGGGCCCTCCTAGGGAAACGGTGTATGGGAGACCGAGAAACCAGGAACTGGGGTAGGCCTGGGTGTACTATGTGAGCTCGGAAGGCAAGGCATGTCCTCCATCTCACCACGCTATTCTCTGTGCACCCTGAGTTTTAGCCTCCCCAGTGGGGTCTAGGTCTCCCCCCAGAATAATCCATCGCTCTCGTGGGGACAAAGAGACCTAGACACGCGTGGGGAAGCACTGGCTGCTGTTGTCCTGTGGGTTCTGAGTTGTGAGTGCATTCCAGGGGACCAGAAGTGACCTTCTAAATCCTATCCGATTGCCATCATGGCAATGTGGGCCTAAAGGAAGCCAGAACTTTTTGCCCCAGTTTCTGAAAACAATGCCTGTCATCACAAATGACTCCCTGTGAAGAAATGAGTATTGGAAACCCAGAGCCAGCTTGGAACCACCTACAGCAGTTGTCTCCTTGGGAACTCACAGACCAATGACAGTGAAGGGCTAAAACTCCAACCCCACCTGGCCTGTATCTCTTGTCCACTTGGCATTAGCTCCCAGAAGGGCACCAAACAGAATTGTCTTGAACACGCAATGGCCAAGGGCTGGCAAACTCGGCCTCAGATCCCACAACTGGCCCTCTCTGGTCTCCTGAGTAAATGCTTCTCCCCACCCCGTGTGGTGGAGGAGCTGTGGTTCGCTTCCCGCTGCTCTGCCTATATCTTTCTCCAACTTCCAGATCCCCAGGTCCTATCACCCTGTGCCTCTGGGCTTCCCAAGCTACTTCACTGTGTTGGGGGTCTCTCACACGGACTTCCAGGGACCGAGTCTGTCTCCCCATGTCCCCAGTACACACGATTCTCCATCTGTGTGCCACCCTGGGGGCGGTCTACACACAAAAAGCAGCTCTGGATACGACCAATGACTGACCAGGAGACAGAAAGCAAGGGTACAAGATGAGATCTTGGTTTAGAGTGGGGTCCTTAAGGTCTTGGGTTGTAAGATCTTCCTCCACCACAAGAAGGCAGAATAGCCAGAAGTTCCTCCACCAGTACCCAACTCTGACTAGTGAAAACTAACAAGGTTCCTCTGCTATCCATACCGCAGTCGGAACTGTAATGGGAGAGCGTTTTAGGGCACTCGTTGCCAAATAGCTAAGCAGGAGGTGGTGGAATCTGCTAACACAAGCTGCTGTTATAAGATAAACCTGAATTTCCAAGGGTGGAGTGAAGCTGGCCAGGGCCAGGTTAGGAAAGAAGATGGAGTCCTGAGAATACATGCAGATCATGATGAGGAAAGAAGAAACATCACCCTAGGAAGGGACTCAGCTCGGCCTCAAGGGAGCAAAACTCAGTACTTCCTGTAGGCAGCCTCAGAGACAGGTCAGCTGAGGAAGTGAGATGGAGCTAGATCAAGGTTAAAGGACTTACACAGATTTCCTATGCACGTGCAGGATGATGAGATGAGGAAGCGAAGGTTGATGAGTACCCTAGGTGTGAGGCTCAATGCTGAGGACCCAAGAAGGGTTGGGACAGTCAAGAGCTACTGGACCCACCTCTGCTCCTCGCCCTCCAGCAGGCGCCTGTAGGTGGCGATCTCGATGTCCAGCCCCAGCTTGGAGTTCATCACCTCCTGGTACTCCTTGAGCAAGCAGGCCATGTCCTGCTTGGCCTTCTGCAGGGCAGCCTCCAGCTCAGCCAGCTTGCAGCGGGCATCGGTGAGGGCAGCCTCTCCCTGCTGCTCAGACTGGGTCACTGCGGCCTCCAGCTTGTTGTTCTGGGGACACAGAAGAGAAAGAGATCGCCTATGGTCCCTGGGTTGCTCTATGTATTACCTGGATGTATCTAGTCTGCTACCAGCTGGGAAACATCCTTCACCCTCAAATAAGAAATTTTTCTTTATAGATGTGGCTCAACCTGAGTGACCGTGGTCAGGATTCTGTTCATATACACAGGAGGTATACTAAATGGTAAGATCCAAGCAGGGCACATGCTGGCCCTATGGCACTGAGTAGGCACCCAGCCTCCCTGGTCTCAGCACAGCTGACCCCTACATACCTGGCACTTGGCGTTCTCAATCTCGGCTGTCAGCCTCTGGATGATGCGGTTCAGCTCATTCATCTCCTCTCTGGTGCGACGCAGGGTCTCCCCATGCCGGATCACCGTGGCCTTCATCTCCTCACACTGGGGATGGGGGAAACAGAGATGCCCATGAGGCACAGGATGCAACATCCACCCAGTGAGCACACCACCACTGAGTGTGCAAGATGTGCAAGATGCACAGCAGCACAGTGCTCAGCCGGGGCTGCCTCCTCCACCTGAGAGCTGTCTGCAATCTTCTTGCAATTCTTGGGGTGCATGAAACCTTTTCTGATAGATCCTGGAGTCCTTCCCACTGTTGTGTCTAAGGACAGGTGTTGTGACCACTCACCTTGGTGCGGTACCAGGACTCAGCCTCTGCCCGGCTGCGGGTGGCAATGTCATCATACTGAGCCTTGATCTCAGCCACAATGCAGTCCATGTTCAGGTCCCGGCTGTTGTCCATCTTGACGATGACAGAGGTGTCTGAGATGTGGGCGTGGAGGATTCGGATCTCCTGCAGGAGGAGGGAACAGCAGTCAAAAGCTTGTTGAAAATTCAGTCTATCCCCACACACCTGTGTAAGCCTCTCAGACCTCCCCTGGTCCACACAGGACTTCACAGCCATGGAATGACTGTCTTCAGTCTACTTGCCAGGCTTCCACCTGGCTGCTGCCCTCACCTCCTCATACAGTCTCCTCAGGAAGTCGATCTCCTGGGTCAGTGCTTCCACGTTGGCCTCCAGGTCTGATTTGCGCAGATAGGCACAGTCCACGTCCTGGGAAAGAGGGATGTGTGAGCTTGAATCACTTGGCTGATCATTTCCCAAAGTCCTCTCTCTCTTCATACATCCCATGCAACACAGTGGGAAAAGATTCCTATGTGCAAGTCATCTCAGCCCCCAATTCCCAGCGTGCACTTGGCAGCTTCTCAGGACTGGAGACTCGCTGCCTCTCAGCCCCCCAAGACATCTTCCCTCTTCTCACTCTTTGATCCCATTCTATTCTAAAGAGCTTCCCATTGACTCCCAAATCAGCCAACTGACCCTGACCTGAACTAGCAAGGCTTCAAGAGAGCATCTGGCCACTCCGAGTGACCCTATCATCCTGTACACGCTGGCTTAGGTCCTAATGGTCAGACTGTAGAATGGGATGTAGACCACACTATTTTTCAATGGACTGAATGAAGCCCTGTGGCTGCTGGCACCCCAACTGTATATCCTAGAAGCAGGGAAAGGCACACCAAGGTCAATAGGGGATCAGGGCAGGAACCAATAGACATTCCAAACTGATCTGCTGCAGTGGAACCACTAGCCCTCCACTAGGTGCCAGCATTCCAGTTGGCTACTGCCTTCACAACAGCCCTTTGTCACAGCCCTGGGTATGACATTCGCTGGGACACCTCTCTGAGAATTTTCCTATCTTGATGTAGGAAGGTCACAAGCCCTGCAGAGGTTAAGCCTTGGGGTCACCACAAGCACAGCGTGTCCCTCAGGTACCCATGTTACCCTGCCTCCCACAGCCCTGCTACTTGCCTTCTTCAGAGCCACAAACTCATTCTCAGCTGTGGCTCTCAGAGAAACTTCCTCCTCGTACCTAGGACAGAAAAGGGAAACGAGACAGTGTGAGGAAACCCTACACTCCTTGCCAGGGAGTGCCGTAGAAGAGCCCTCACCACCATTCCTGGCCCTGCCGGGTCTTTCTGTAGGAAGCTGGGCTGTCTGGGAGTGCAATCAGACTGTAAAGGGACCTCTCAGTGCTGTTCTGAAGTCACCCCAGGAAGGAAAGGAGGATTCACCCCCAATCTGGGAGTGGATGGGGTCTTGGGGACTGCAGCTCCAACCTCCCCTCACTTGCATGTCAGTCCCAGCCCAGCTGCTGACTAGACCCAGAGCCCAAGGGCTGAGTTCCCAAGTCAGGGAGAGAGATGAGCATGGGCCCTGGCCCTCCTGCTCCTGTGGGCTAAATCTGTTCAGGGGCCTCAGTGCCTGGGGTGGGGGAATCAAAGTCAGAAAGTGTGGATGAGGGTCCTGGGACTGTCCTTTCCCAGAGAAGGCAGAGCAGTTGGTCTCAGTCTCCGGAGAGAAGGCTGAGGCTGAGAAGTAGTTCACTGATACTCTCCAATTCTCTCCAGGGAGCATCTGTACAGATACTACACAGACAGCAAGATCCCACAATGGCCTCAGCCTGGCTAGACTTTTGCTGTCTGTGCCCTGGCTTTTGATATAAGACACATCTTATGCCAGCACCACACCAGGTCTTTTCACCTCTTCTTGTAGCCCTCCATGGTCTCCTGGGCATGGTTGAGCTCAGCAGCCAGCCTCCCGCTGTCAGCCTCCACACACTCAGCCTCCCTCCTCAGGGTCTCGATGTAGCCCTCGAACAGCGGCTCCACGTTGCTCTCACAGCACTTGCGATTCTGATAGAACTGCCATTTGGTCTCCAGCAGCTTGTTCTGCTGCTCCAGGAAGCGCACCTGCCGTGGGAGTGAGAAGGGGTTCAGGGGCAGATCTGGGGTGATGGTGGAGAGGAGGTGAAGGGGCTCTGGGAAGGAGCCCAATTCTCCATTCCCTTGTCTTGGCTCTGCCTCAGCTTTCCCACTTGGGGAGAGCACAAGGGACCGGGGCAGTGCCCACACTCACAGATGCAGGTGGCCACTTCAGTGTCCTGTGCTGGGCTTGGTACTCTCCTCTGAACTAGGAAGGCAGGAGCCCCCACAAGCAGAGCACCCACAATCACATCCCAGGATGAGGGACTGGCATGGAGCCAGGGAGACAATGTCACAGGCCCTTTGGAGGAGCTAACTAGGCTGGCCTCTGCCCCTCCTCCAGCAGTCCACATCCCTTCCTGTCAGCTCAAGTGCAACCTTCCTCTTTGGGCTGCCCACAGCCCCATGCTGCAGTCCCCTGGACCTCCCTGCAGTCAGCTTGTACCCAGGGCAGCCTGGCCATCAGCCCTACTTCTCAGGACTGGCAGAAGATCCCTGTGGTTCTTAGTGTGCCCGTCTGGACACACCTCTCTCTTGAGACCAGGGGCTCAATAGGAGAGGTCTTTCTGCCTCCTGTGCCCCTCAGTGTTCAGCCTTGGCCATGCCTATGATGGGCTCCAGGAAGGGGCTGGTCCAGGACACCCACCTTGTCGATGAAGGCTGCAAACTTGCTGTTGAGACACTTGATCTGTTCCTTCTCCTCATGCTTCACACACTGAGCATTGGGGTCGATCTCCAGGTTGAGGGGTGTGAGCAGGCTCTCATTGACAGAGACTGTGGTGATGCAGGGGGGTGTGGGCCCGCAGACACCTCCAGAGCGGTATCCGAAGCTGCGTCCACAGGAGCCGGAGCGGAAGGCCCCGCAGACGCTGTGGCTGCCGAAGCCCCCTGAGAGTCCTCGGTAGCAGGAGATGCCGCGGTAGGGAGCTGCGGAGATGCAGCATCGGCCAGGCCGGGGCCCGCAGGCTGAGGCGCAGCTGAAGGCACGGCCACCACAGTAGGATCCACAAGTCATGGTTATTTGGGGAGAAGGGAGACTGTGAGACTGGAGACGTCCAAGTGGAGGATACAGTGGACGTGGATTCGGGTGTTTACCTCTTTAGATTCTGTTGGCCTTTTATATACGTGGGGACCCTGACTGTGAGCACGTGGTCTGGAGCAATTAGATGCCTTTATGAGCTTGGCTTGTTTAGCTGCTGCAGCTCCTCCTTAAATGTACTTAATTGGTGCCCAGTTGCAGCCAGATGTTTATGGTCCTTTACCCTAAACTGTCCAATTTTCTTCTTCAAAGGGCCAGCTCACCTACTCCATCCTCTACTCATGTGCCGAGTACTCAGAAACAGAGGTGGAGAGACAGGGTAGGTGATTCAGATTGCCAGGAAAATGGAGAAGGGGCTGAGCTGTAGCTCCAATTGACTGAAGGAGAAGAGGTCGGCACCGCTGTCCGTGGTCCTGACCCGACCAGGCTAGGGAAGCCAATGGCATCGGACTGGTGTACTAAGAGGGATTCCTCTCCAGGGTGGTTCTTTTCTGTGCCCCCTAGGGCCCCCTATATGCATAACCTCTACGTTAGTTACCTTCTCCCACCTCCATCCCCTGGCCCCACTGACTCTTCCTCTCCTCCCTCCTCATGTGGCCTTTCACATACACAATTTCACACATACAGGCTTCATGTCTATGTTATACACACACACACACACACACACACACACACACACACACACACACACACACACACACACACACACACACATCTATGGACATAGACTCTCCCTGGCCCATCTTGGCTGGTCTGAACCAAAACAGTATCTTCCTTCAGTCTTCCCCAAGCCCTAGGGGTACACACTGGCTCACTGGCTCCAGGAAAGCCTAAAACAAGTATCCAAATGTCTTCATTTCACCTCAGGATCCTATGTCATCCAAGGCCTCACTGTAATGTGTCTACACAGTATTTGTCTTGGGATATGAAATCCAGTAAGGTGACATGAAGAAAACATGTAACCTCCAACTGTCATTCAAGTCCCCACTGCTTCCCACACTGTGACACCTCCCCCCCGACCTTCTGCTTTGCACATCAGCCTACCAGTAGCTTTGATAGGCACTAAGACACAACTATACCATCTGATGCTGCCCATCCAGTATAAGCTTTGAGCTCACAAGAGCTGAGTAGGGCCAGAACACTGCCCTGACTAGCTCTACATGACCTGATGTAAGCAGATGTTTTACTCTGCTAGGAAGCAGGCTGTAGCTTTGCTCCCCTGACTGTCCTGGAAGTGTGAAGAAGAGATGTGTATAGGCTCGGTAAACCCCAGAGCACAATGTGGTAGGCTGCCCCCCCCCATCTTTTCCAGTTGCTCTGGGCAGTGCTTTTCCTGAGTTCATGTTGTTACCCACTAAGGGGAATAACCATCATTTCTCAGTCACAGAACAGACCAGAACAAAAGCATCCAGAGTAGAACAGATTTGCTTGCCTCACTACTGCGCCCTGACCTTCTCGTTCAGACATATGTGGTTCTGTCATTGCATAAAATTATTCCTTCTGGAGCTGTAATTCTTAAAAAGTAGAAATACATGTTATACCAGTTGAGGACATAGATCCGGATTCCAAAGTGCCTAGTTTCAAATCCTAGCTCCACCACGCTACTGGGTAACTCTAGGTAGCCACTCAGCAACTCTGAGCCTCCATTATGGTTTGTAAGACGAGGATAATACTAGCACCTACCTCGTAAAGTTGTTGTAAGGATTAAATAATTAATCTATGCTAAGCACTTAGGCCTGAGCCTGATACACACCAAGGGCACAAATAGATGTGAATTGTTGTTGTTGTGCTGTTGCTGTTGTGGGTATATTGACAGCTTTGACGGGGTGTACTCACTCACCTTCCCAAACCACTTATGTTCAATTATGGCCTCGCTTGAAAGAGCAGTGGGAGAACTGATTAAGATAATACATGGATAATACTTAATGTAGCAGCCGGCCCATAGAAAGTGCTTAATTATTGCTGAGTGCACTATTGTCCTACCATATGGGCCTGTCCCAGGAGAAGAAAGGACTATGGCCTAAGTGTCCATCTCCTTCCCGGTCCAGCCCAACTGCTTCAGGAAAGGCCCGCTCACAGACTCTCATCTTGGCCAATACTTAGGCAGCAGCTCTAAGAGAAAAAAAGCTCAGTGATCTGAAACTTCATTAATTGGAAAATAAGTCAAATATTTGTATTTTTCATTTGGTCTTAGAATAGCATCAGAGATCATTGACCACACAACCAATAAAAATGCAGAGTTGTAGATGCCTGTCCCAAATGATACATCTACAACAACCTCCGCTCCTAAGACTCAGGGATCCTGGGGAGAAGGGGACAGGAAGATTGGAAGAGCCAGAGGAATAGGAAGTTTGCTGGAAGATTGTGTCTCCTAGAAATATCAGAAGCTACATACATAAAGTCTCACTAACATGGATGCCTAAACATGAGTGGAAGAAAGAAGACACCAACAGGTATGCTAATGGAGACAGAAAAGGCCTCACAAGGCCTCGACCCTAGACGAAGAATTACAGGCAACTAAGGAAAGCTGAGAGTGGGATGCATAACCTTTCCTGGGGAAGGGCCTCCAATTGATTATCCAATACCAAATGGTCATCCCTGAAAATACACATGCAAGTAACATTATATGGACTCAGCCGGTCTTATTTATACATTCAGGAATGTATATGTGTATTTATACACATATATGTACAACAACAATTAAAGACAAAGGGGTTGTGAATTTGAAAGAGGTCAAGGGGGTGCATGGGAGGGTTTGGAGGAAAGAAAGAGAAGGGGAAACGATGGAACTATATTACCTCAAAAAAATGAAATATTATTAAAAAAAATAAATCCTTGGTCATAAATTAAACAACATCCAGCTTGTGTACCTTGTTTTTCATCTAATCCCCAAACCTCCTGATTGGGTGGTAGCCGGAGATCCCATGGGTCTGTTGGGGGATGCCTTTGGAAATCTGTCCTAACACAACAGAACTGCAGAGGAAGCAAGAGCCGGCAAGCCCTCACTGGCTGGCTGGAAGCTGGGGTTGAGGAAAAGCTTCCCGGGGGAAGAACAAGCAGCCATTCTGCCGAAAGAAGGGGCATTAGCTCTTTTACTTCAGGAAGCCTTGTATCAAAGCAAACCCCTTCTGGACCGGCCACCCTGCATGTGGGGACACAATGGACCCACGTGGTATGGTCTCTTCTTCCAGCCTATGTGGTCAGGTGGACCTTGTGGTGACGAAGACAATCAGACCATTTTCATCTTATGGAGTCCTTACTCAAAGCTCACTTCAGTCCGCTCTGCTTCCAGGGAACATATAACGCATGCGACAGAGCCTCAAGGAGGAAGGTAGCAAAGACTAGCTGTGTCTCACAGATGGGGCATCTGGGGACCCTGGGGTTGATATGTCCTGTCAGGTAGCCCCTGAACATGCGCTGACTGGAAAGGGGAGACTGCACAGACAGAAGCCCCGCCTCTGCAGCTCTCAAGTCAAGGAAAACAGAGCCACTGTGGTGAGGAAAGCCGGAGGGTGCAGAGGAATGCCTGACTGTGGTGTCCTTCTAGGAGGGAAAAGGGGGCCCCTTGGGAAGGGCAAAAATGGGCTTTCACAAGGCAGAAACCTGGAGGAGACTCGGAGGGTGGGTAACAGGGACACAGAGCCGAGGATGGAAGCCCAGGAAGGCTGAGGGTCCTTGAAAGAAGGGTCACGAAGTTCTATGATTGCATGATGAGAGAGGGACAGAGTCGGGAGACAGAGAGACACGAGACAGAGATAGATAGAGACAACAGAGACAGAAAGAGAGAAAGACCCTCATCCAGTAGAGGCCAAGGAAGCAGGCCAGTGTCATCCTTGAGACACTAGTGGGAGTTTAGACTGGAGTAGCTCGTGGGCTCTACATCTGGAAGACACCCAAGCATCACCTACTGGGTGTGTCCTTCCCACCTATAAGCAGAAAGAGAAGCCAAGGCCAGTAAGGCTTCCAACTTGTGTGAAGGAGGATATTTACACACTAACAGGACTCTTGAGTGAGGAACTGACTTCAGGTCTAACCTCTACATATGTGAGGCAAGTTAGGGGGCATTCCACATCAGATCCCCACTTCTCATCCTGCTCACACCCAGGACACTGGCTAAGCAGCCATCAGAATGCAACAAAGCGAGTATCTTTGGCCAAAGGGTCAGAAGAACAGGATGCCCAACCCCTGGAGCTCAGCCTGCTGAGCCCCACTCCCTAAGCCCTGCGTCTGCCTATGAAACCTCATCACCGGACATCTGGGCTGAAGTTGCCCCTCTGCAGACTGGTCCAGACCCTGACCTCAAGTTGTACCTTTCCAGCACAGCAGCTGCCTCCTCATCCTTATTAACCTCCTCCTCCTCCTCCTCCTTCTCCTCCTCCTCCTAATCTTCATCATCCTCCTTCTCCTCCTCATCTTCATCATCCTCATTCTCCTCATCCTCATCCTCCTCATCCTCCTCATCCTTATCCTCTTCATCATCATCATCATCATCCCTCCTCTCTTCCTCCCCCTTCCTCGCCTCCTCTTCCTTCTCCCCTCAATCATTTCTGCTGAAGTGTTTCCACCACACCATTGTCCTCTGGATCTTCACTCACTTGTCCTCCACCCTTCTCCACTTCCTCCTATCTCTCTGACCTCTCATTCTTCCCAACTGTACCCCTGCCAGCTTCCTTCCCTTCCTGCTAGTGGCTCTCAGGAGTCATCATCTAAGACCACACAGCTCCTTCTCCCCATAAAAATTCCCTCCCATTCCTACCCCTCCTCCCACCCCCAACCTGGCTCACACCCCATCTACTCTGCCCCAGGCTTTCTGAATGCTCGTCTTCACTGGTTGGCTCTCTTTGGCCAAGAACACATTTCTCTTACGTCACTCCTTCAGACCTCAGCATCACTCCTTCCCACCCCACCCCCAGGAATGGCCACTTCCTGGTCTGTTTCGTGTGACCCCACCCCATTTGACCACAAAGCTTTGTACA